TACCTGAAAAATATCTGAAAGAAATCAACAACTTCCTACATCATCAGAAACTATTTTTGTTAACTCTGATACAAAAGAAAAGCTTGTAATGGGTATTAATTCAACTTCACGTAGGAACCCATAATCTTTCATGTTTTATGAGATCCGTAAATATTACACAGCTTCAGGAAAAAAGAACTGCTTAGAAGGTGTTTTTCTATTATCTTACTAGCCTGATGCAGGGGCTATTACACTGGAAATCTCAATGATGTCATTTTCAGACAAATCCTTTGGTTACAGGAGCACATTTATTGTAATTCTGAAGTTATCGTCTACCTGAAGCGATGATGAAGTGATCTATTTTCCTCTAATTTTGCTCTACCTGGTTCCTCACAAAGCTGACGAACAAAAACTCAACTGTAGTGTATTTGAATGTAGGTGGGCCCATTAGGTAGTCCAAGAATACTCTAAAACGCATGTATATAAGGACGTATGTATGTATAGTCACTCTACATGGTCTCGTGCAGGATGGAAAAAATCTATTTGCTTTCTTATTCAAGAATTGAGACAAAACCAAATGAAAATTGGATCACAGTGAACTACATCTGAGATAGATAGATGAAAGGCAAATTAAGTAATAAGACAAGACAAGCAGTTGCTGGAGAATTATAGCATGGCTGCCTTGGTTAGTGTCATAAAGCACAAGACAAAAGGTATTAATCAACTACAGAGCACTGCAATAATTTTCCGTAAATGCAGTGCCTGGAGGGTTTTGTTGTTACTATGAAATGGAACTTGTCAGAACATCTAAATAATGAAAATAAATTCAATGTGTATGCTAGGCACAGACACAGTCATGACACCTCTTCCGGTAGCCAATCACAATGATTCATCTTATTTGAAGTTCAAAAGTCATTTCATAATGGAAATGTGTTAAATGCTAACATCAAGCTATGATAATGAAATGGATTTTAGAAAATACAAAATTGAGAGCTTCCTCACAGAAGCAGTTTTTGTTGAGAAAAAGAATATGCTACTTGAAACATTTTTCCAGGGAATTAGTAAATACTCCTAAATAGAATTGTTGCAAGTTTGCAAGAGGAATAATTTTAAAGTACTTAAACATAGCACTGCTTACGTGTTGGAATAAAAGGAAATAGAGTTATTAACCAATGAATAATTGCAATATGGAAATGACAATAGAATTCCTAAAGGATTATACATAGATGCTGTTAGTGCACATTGTGAGTAATTTAATTACAATGGATAGTAAAGGAAGTAATCATTTGCCACTTACTGTAATTTATCATCATTGTTCTGGTACTGCAGACTGGCTTGTAAAAGGATATAAAAACATCAATAAAAGTGAAATATGGCATGGGAAGTATCACAAAAGCTTAATATCCAAACATGGTCTGAACAGGAGACATTAGTTCATGTTAACACATTAGTGCCAAGAACTGTGAATTGCTGAAAAGCCCTTATTAGTCCTTATTAAATAAAAACCCCACAAGGTTGAAAGAACAATACAAAGTAGTTGGTGGCTCAACTTTGTGGCTAATACAGCACTACCTAGACATTTACTTTTCCAGTTAAATGATGCCTCCCCTTCCCCACACAGGAGAGTGGGACATACAGAGGGACTTTCCAAACTCTGGAGTGATGGGTATCAGAAGGTGGCTCCCACTGCCAAAAGCAATATGGTTTCCCTGGATGAAAAGAAGGGAAGTTCTGATGCCCACCTTAACACCCACAAGAAATTGCTATATTTGAGGGAAAGTTAGAAAACCACATTGATGCAACAAGTGCAGCTATATTCTGCCTTAGGCTTCAAGAATTAGGCTTTGGTCAGTTTCTGTACACAGCAAGATCCTGCTTTATGTTTTAAGTCCAAATGAACCAAACTGGTGCAGAAAGCGTATGTCTCTCTTAAATGGGCATTCAAGTATTACTTGATCACACAGAAATCCTTGGCTAGAATAGGGAGTTGGCTCCATGATCATATCTCTGGCTACCTAGAACAAAAATTTAACTAGAACACATTAAGCTTTGCTAATAATGCCCCTGGACAATACTGGTCCAAAACTTAAGGCCTGCCTAAAACGGTACCTACCACCTCCTTAGTCTGGGAAAGCATAAAGACAGCTTAAAACAGAAAGTTCTATTGAGCTGTGAAAATAACTAATTGATTCATTGAGCAGCTACTCTAAAAAGCTTTTTTTAAAAAAGTCAACCTGGAAAAGTCTGATTCAGAGTAGTGACTTCAAGTTTAAATCTCTCCTCAGATGGCAGACACTCCTAACCACTAGACTAGAGGGTATTCTTAAGTGAGTCTCTTCTACTGAAGATCTTCTATGCAATAGTAATTACATAATCCTCAGGCACAGCCTGGAGCACTATTATCTTACTCAAAATGAATGCTACATTACAAAATATTAGGCAGACACCATTACCAAAACCATTCTCTCTTCCACCTCCAGTTGGTAAGACACCTAAACAACTCATTAAGAAATGCCAACATAAACAGTTTTAATGTTTCTGTTTTTCCCCCCCACTTATAGGTTCAAAAACATATACTGAATTTGATCTGAATTGGCTGACCCCAAATTGCATTTTACATCAATTAAATTTGCCAAAAAAGATGCTGCCTCTTCTACTACTGATCTTAAATTCTATTCTGTTAATTTTTTTAAAATCAGTTTTGAAATGTGTACCGGATCACTGTTAGCCTAACAGCTCTCATTTACTAGTTTTAGTAGTCCAATACATGTAACCTCTTCAAGAACACTGAAAAGCCCTTTTGCACACTCTGTGTTCAAACCTTTCTTAATTTTCTTGCTGGTACAACTGAATCACCACAATTCAAAGGCAAGACTGGATAATTCAAAGAATGTACATCTTCTAGCATATTTGATCAACTCCCCTCACACCCTGCTCCAAAGCTGTGACTTGAAGTGATGCAAGTATAAACAGAGTTACAAGCAAAAATAGATATGGGCTAATTATACTGATTACCCAGATTGTAACAGTATATACAAGGCTTCATTTTTGTGGGGAAGATTAAACACAAAGGTGGTGCATAACAATCATACTTGCAGGAGTTAGTAAGGCTGCGACATCCAACAAGTATGTAAACTAAATTTTTTTCAATGGCTGTTCAGAATCATTACTGAATATGTTTGACAGAATTTCCATTTTAAATACACATAAAGATTATAAAATGAAGCACATGACATATTCCTAAAAAACCAAAGCTACTGCCGATTGTTTATATTTTAGAAGTATGACTGCATATAACAATAATAGTATACATCCTGCTGTTTTTAATACTAGGCATCAAGGAAGGTTTTTCCCCAGTACAGTCTGCATTTCTGATTCTTAATTACAGTACTTTTTTTCCTTAAATATTTAACAGGTTTATTCCTTATGTTCAAAATGTCGTCCTGACCCTGAGCTTTGAACAATTATTACAGATTGACTATCACTCATCAGCTAGTCTCACAGTAGAAAACGAATTAACTACAAATCTTAAAATATAAGTTACATCAAGGAAATCAAAAGCCAACTTTCACAGCATCATTATTTTTTTCCTGTCTGTACGTTAGACTAATAATAAACTTTGCCAAACTATTTTATGTTAGTGAATTAAAGGCATGGTCAAGTAAAGTCAGCTACCTGGCTAAGACCAGAACAAAGAATTAATGCAAACCTCTTCTTCCTAAGTGGGTTTATTCAGGTTAGTACAGAAATACCAAAGTTTCCCATGTCTGCTTAATTTTATGTAGCTAAGTCTCTTCCTATGCTGAGGAACCTAGAAATTACCCTTATGAAGAATGTGTGGAGTGACAAGAGATACAGGGGACTGGTAATGGACAGGCTGAGAACTGAGAACCCCTGAAAATTTCTAATTTTGACATAGCTTGAAAAGGCTCATGCACTCGTATGGCAGGAACACATTGTTGTCTCTTGGACCTAAACGAGTGTCCTGCTGTCAAACAGGTGCTTCATTTTCAAAGGAGACATTGGAAAGTTTTCTACTCATCTATATTTCTACTAGGCTGTAGAACTTCATATTCTACCATGGATCAGTGCTTGGCAGCTGTAGAGAAGCTATGTAACTGCTGCTGGTTGCAGACTTTTCTCCAAGGAATTAAACTTGTGGGAATAGCAACATGGTCACACCTGGTGAACTTTGAACTTAACTGAAGACAAAAAGTAAGCTAGGAAATTCAAATTAAAATCATATTATGAATTCAGACTTGAACACTACACTTCTTATACTGGCATTTACTTACCTTAGGTTTTACCACAACAAAGCTACTGAAATATTTTTGCTGAAGAACCCATGTTTCTGCTTAGACATCATTGTAATCATTTACTGGGCTTTTATTTAACAACTGCCACCAGTTTGATTTTCAGGGAGAAACTGTCACAATTTTAGAGTATTCTTTTTCCATGTATGGTTTGCAATTTGCCACATAAAATATGAAAAGCAATTCATATTTCTGTGAAGGCCTTCTAAAAAACTTTCAAATTGTGACAAAAATAATGACATTTAATCCATAATTGGTGCTTGATGTCATAACATTTTAGGTAGACAACATATCTAGGAGCTTTTATATAATAATGTAGATCAATGAGAATGAAATATTACCTTTAATTATTTTGGTATATACCTGGTTGAGGGGAACAACGAGAATGCCACAGTTGGTGGCATATTTTTTGTTAGAATTGTGTAACAACAGTATTGCGTCAGCATAGGAGTTCATAAGAATAAATCAGCCTGTTTGGCTTGTTTGCTGACAAGATATGAATTGACACTTATTTCAGTTTTATTTCTTGTTACAGGAGGAGCCTGTCTATATACTGAAAAATACACAATGTTTGGGGACAACAATGTCATTTCTAACCAGTGTAAATTTATAAGAGTAATCTACGGCAGACGAAGAACAGACAGATCATTGCTTTTCTAACTTATACAAAACTAACATTTAGAAGGTGCACAAAACTATTCAAACATATACAGGTTCAAATCTTTATTGTTTTAAAATTCTACATGTCTTTTACAATTACAATAATTTGTTACTTAAATGACTCTTGTATGGTTAATGTACAATGGAGTTTTTTCCTGAAACTCAACCATGAAATACAATTTCATCAATATGATTTTTCTAAATAGATTAATACAAGACTTCTGTTTTGTTGGGAAGTTTCAAGTGCTTCAATTCAAATCCAACAGCACAAGGGTTCTTCCCTTCAGAATCTGTGTGATCAATCCATCGAAAGTGCTTTTGAAGATTGCAGATTTACCTTGACTGATTTCTGTATCAGCCCATCAAATTACAAGTTTTTCTTCTTTTTTTTTTTTTTTTAAACATTAAAGAGCATTTTAAGGTAATGAAACAACTTGCAGTAGTTATCTTTATGCATCTACAGAGGCAAACTCATGTTGAAGAAAAATTATATGATTATCTGCATGCAATGAACACTCCTCTTAAATAGTTGAATTTATACATATTATAAAGAATCTGTTAAAGAGTGCAAGTACTTTGATAATGATTTCACAAAGGGACATATGCTGGTAATAATGGTAACTAACATTGAACATCTAAATACGAGCTAATGTTTATTTAACAGGCATTTAACATGGCTAATAATAAGCCACGATGTACAGGGTTGCCCTTTGAGAAAATGAACTCATTTGGTCCACAGTACTAAAGTTATCTGGGTGAAAAAATTGGAACAGTTAGGGCCAGGTATTTTGATGAAATTCTTGTTTCTAAAATGTAACCCGTTAAAAAGTAAAAGTAGTACATCAGTGAAGTTTATTGTCACATGACCTCAGTATAAAAAAGATGGCATGGTATTTGTAGTGATGAATGAGCACTGAAGGACACGTCTGAAGAGAATGAAACAAAGAACTGAGTTTCCACTGGGTTATACTTTCTTGTTCCACGGCACTGCTTTCACTCTGTAGAATTTTGTACCCAAAGGAACTTTAAATCTGTTTTGTGCCTGAAAGAACCAGCAAGAATTGATACAAATTACATCTAAAAGCATTTTAAAATTTGTGTTCTGCTTTCACTAACATTTTTCAGAGCATGACCTGATTTTCATCCTCTTATACCTTTTTTCAACTGATATCTAAAAACTGGTTTGGCAATACTAATTATTCAAAATGGCAACTGATACCATTTATTGATCACAATTAAAAAGGGTATGCATTACATAACAGGGGGCGCTCTTTACTCCTACAGGAATTAGCTCTCTTAGGCTCTGTAAAGCAGCAATTGCTCAGAAATCAAAGCTATTTAGAAATGAATAATAGTTTCCAACACATTCATGCATCCTTTTCAAAATAACTCATACATGTACTACCTGTGTTGGCAAAATTATGCAAGTCTAACTACTTCCCTAAATTCCTATTTTAAACACATTCATAAAACTTCTAATTCATACATTTATGCATGCTCTGGGAATCTACCCATCTCCAAGTTTCCAATCAATTACAAGAGCTATGGGCTACTTTTTGCCACACTTGCGCATAATACATATTTATTTCAAGAAGGTACATGTACATGACTGCATGTGGGCAAAATTTGGCTCTATTTCTCTATTGAAATTATTGGTTCATATGTTTAATAGTTCCTTACCTTTTTTGCCTGGCAATACTCCTTTTCCATTACCTTTCCTAGCACCCAAGGTCTTCTAGATGCACCTGAAGCTAAAAAGAAAAGAAATTAAACAATGCATGGAGAACTAACAATTTTTTGTTTTTCCGGGGGGGGGGGAGTGCAGAAGGAGGGCAGAGAGAAAATTAAAATTGCCAAAACAGGACATAACTTTCAAAGCAAAAACGTCCAATTTCACAATCTGAAATTATTTAGAAATAAAATAAAACAACCCATACCAGAATAATAAGCTTTGAAAACTACTGAAACAGCCTTTTTTCTAATGACTTCCAAATAGCTGTTTTTTCTTTCAATTTGGGTTGGAAAAATTATTTAAATTTTTCAAAGTGGGAAAAACAAAACATTTCCTACCCAGCTCCCTGCATTGAGAGATGGGACAAGGTTTTTAAATGCAAGTGCTGTGAAAACAGGTAGCTTCCAAATGAGTTATTTTTCCACTGCCCAAGTATATGCACATTTGCAAAGTTTGGCTATGATCTGCTTTGTTGCAGTACTTCAGTTTCATAAACAGTATTAATTTAGGCTGTTTGCATATGTTTAAAACACAAAAAACACCCCAAAAAAGCAAAAAACCCTGCACTTTACAAGAAGCAGTAATGCGTTACTTCGACCCGGCTCTGCAGCGTCTGTATGGATTGGGTGCTTCAGTGGGGCTTTTTGGTGCTTTTATTTATCTCAAGCTGATTCAATCAGCTATTAGTTGAAAGTCCTAGTAAAGCCTCACTAAAGCACCTGATCTATACAGATGTTGGGTGAGCTGGTTCCACTTAGCACAATGCTTCTTCTGGGCATGAGCTGGGCTCAGTGCAGGGGTACATGGAGTTTAAAGCGCTGTTGGGTTTATTTGCTTTTGGGGGGGAGGGGTAATCTTTGCAAGCAGCCTTATAATTTTAACTGGAATTACAAATTGATAAGAAAGTTAAAGTAGAAACAAAAAAAATTAGAAAGTGTAAAACACTATCTACAGGGATAAGTTAGTAATACAATTGTGGAAATACTTCAACACACCTCTGTATATACAATAACTAAAGAAACTAAGCTCATCTTGTTTTTCAATTACAAAAGTTGTGCAAAGTTTTAAGAGTAGGTAAAACAGTAAGTTATTCACAGTTTGAAGTAACGCCTCAATATAAGAGATGCAGTTATACCTCACATAATGTACATTTATGTATTTTACATATATGTATTTATATATGCAAAACCTGTGGTTTTTTAACTGGTGCTTTCTAAGGCACCTAGCACAGGTTCATTTACTGGCAAGGTGGGATCCGATTCCCAATCCTAACAATTGCATGGCAGAATATGCAATAATGGGATCAGGAATCATATTCTAAGAGTGCCATTACTACTTACCAGCACAAGGGGAACCTGGGACCCCCGGCATCAGCAAGTTGAAAGCTGGGTATCAGCAGCCTGTGCCTGGGACTGGCAGTCCACTGATTGCCAGTCTGAGCCCCAGAACCACATGGAGCGGCTTCAAGACTGCTGTGTGGTCCTGGGGCAAACACTGAAAGTCAGCTGATTGTTTGTTCCAGCCCCAGGACCACAATTGTTTGTTCCAGCCCCAGGACCACAATTAGGTTCAATTTAAGCTGTGATGGAAAATCAGCCACAAAAGTGTTACATATATTTTATGAAATATTTTTGTAGCAGTTTCCCTTTTTATAGCACCATGAATTCCTTGAAAATGTGGCAGAGTTACTATTTATGGTGCAATTAACTAGTTAATTGCTGCTTGACTAATGCCTGCCAGGAGTCTAAGAAAGTGAATTTATTCATTGGGGAATAAGACTAGAAGTCAGGAACCAGTGAGTTTTAACTATTTTTTGTAACAAGTTTAAAGTAGCTTTGGGAAAGTAATTTAACTTCTCCTGATCAGCAGGGATCCTGGTTTTCTTGAATAACAAACAAACCGACCAAGCACCAATTTTCATAATAAAAAAGTAACCCAAAATCCACATTTTTCTATGATCAAAATGAAACATCACTAATATATATATTTACATATTAGTGGTGTTTCATTTTAATCATTTTTGGGTTAGTTTTTTTGAATCTAAAAATTGGGGATTTTTTTTATTTAAGCCAGAGAAAACCAGGATCCCCCACGCCAGGTCTTCAGTACCATCCCTCCATACACTTGTCCCCACCCCTGCCTATGATCTCTTCTGGAGCCAGCACACTCCAGTACTGGTCTCCCCACCCCTGTGGTGCCTGTACTTCTTCCCCCCCAACCTGGTGCCTGTACTTCTTGCTGTCCCACACACCTTGTACTTGAATCTAAGACAATGGGCCCCCAACCTCATACTGAATAAGTAAAAAACCCCTTGTCTTGGATTTAAGTAAACAGTGTATTTTATTTTTAACATCCAATATCAATACAACTGGAAGTTAAAAACTAAAAATTGCTTTTCAGCATTTATACTGTTTACTGCAATAAAAGACTCCATTTTAAATTCAGGTTCACAGGACAGAGGAATATTTAAAATGAAGAAACTTATTTCTTCCAGTGGGAAAAATGGGGGCTGATGTTATGATTAAAGGCAAAATTAATGCAAGAGTTCTAGGTTTCCCTAGTATTAGCTTAAAACTACACCCACAAGATTTGCAATAATAATGTACAAGACAGAACAGCTGTCATCCAGTGGTTCTCAAACATTTTAGGCTCAAGACGCCCCTTGTTAGGTTCAAGACACCTGCACTTAGTTTTCACCTTTTTTCCCCCCGCAGTGAAAAAATATTACAGCAATTTCTTTTGTGGCAAAGAACTTAGAAAGACTATAACAGATCAGATTTTTTAATGCTTTGGATTATTATATGAAAAGTGCTGGTTTTATTCTAGTGAATGATATATTTACACGCCTACCGGTGCTAACATAGCATCCCCTGTAAAGATCTTAAGGCACCCTATGGCACCCTGGGTTGAGAATCACTGCTTCAACCAATTTCTGAGTTGACCTACGTCTTAAGACAAGCAAAGACGGATCAAATCATGATTTAACATAGAATAGTCAACATCATAGCTAGTTATATGGGGAATTACCACTACTGTAAGCAATACATGTACATGCTTTTCTGTCAAAGGAAAATTGCAAAGAAGCATGCTGCAAGCATACTGCAAAAGAAAATCTGATAGCCAAGTGGTAATATATTAAAGAGGGTGAAACCTAAATCATTCTGGAGGTAAAATGGGGGCAATGGAATAGATAGGTAAAATAAAGAAGGAGCTGACTTCACTAATTGGTGTCAAAATATTTGCAGGAAACTTGGCAGTGATTTTAAGAGATTGCTGTAAAACATACAAATACATCCTTGGCAAATGCAGCCACTGGAGCCAATAGCACTCTCAAATAAAATGAGGCATTTATTTTCTTTGAGAGGTATTTTTATGCTTATGATCAAGCTTTGAAACATATCAAGCAGTTTTTAAATTAATAATTACTACTTTAAAACTAAACCCCAACCAAATGGTTCTATTTTGTTTATTTCCAACTTTTAAATCACACTATGTTTTATCGCTAATCACTTCCTAGACTCCAATAGAAAACAAGAACAGAACAATTTTCCCTAAATAACCACTTTTAATAAAGCCTGAAGATAAAGTCCTTCACAGGATGCTTTTCATACCCTTAAAATATTTCTCACTTGAAAGCCGTAAGAAATTCCAAAATTAATGGGTTTATTTGGGAAAGTAAAAGGATACTCAAGCAAACATCGACATTTGTTTTTCCCTATATTGACCGATAAAATCCATCTGATGCTCTAGGCCAGAGGTTCTACATGTTGATAGATTTCTTGAAGCACTGAGGACCGACAGCCCTCCTGCACTGTACAAGGTCCTGCAACATATTTCTATTTACAACTCTTACCCTGCTTTCCTTTGGTTTTATCGACTCATTGTCCTTCTCTCTGTCTCTCTCCTGTTTTTAACTCTTTCTGAGCTTTGTTCTTTCTTCTTAGCTGCTCTTTCTAATGGCCTTCATTTACTAGGATACTACAAAGCCAGGACCACTTTAGTGACACATTCTGCCACAGTCTGATATTCTTCCTCTGAGATGAAGTGTTTGTGCCTTTGGATCTCTTGCCTCAGAAGGCAACATCTGGGAAGACCTGTTGAAAGACTTTGTCTGAACAAGACTCTTTGCATGTCAAGTGTGCACAATGATATCTTGACTGTAGAGAAGTAGGGCACTAGAGACAGAACACTAGCAGGTTGGATCTGTTGTTTGATATGTGATCCAATGAAAGTCTTAGACAGAAACAAATCTTTAGATGTACCTGTTAAGGGTAGAAGACTAAATATGAAGGAAATCAGTCATCAACATCTGCATCTCATTTGTTCTTGCTTAAGTGATAGTAAGAAGGCCGTCATCAATGATATATATCAGTAAACAGGGGACACTAGGCTTTAACAGTGGCCCCCAGCAGTGACATAAGCAGCAGGTTAAGATACAGAGAACAGAATATCCTACTAGACAAATGAAGGAAGCAGAGGACCAGTGGGTGGGAAAGATGGGATAACCCTACAGGAGGGAGTCGAACGAACCTCAAGTGAGGTTAAGGATTTGTTGCCATACTTGAGCTGTAGTCCAATACAGCTGTGATGAAAGCTTATAGAGGGGAATGAAGCTTCACCCAACACCAGATTGAAGTCTAGTTAAGTTAGGTACACCTTTTCCACTGCAGATGAAACCAGTCTTGCCTAGAGACTGTCACTGAGAGCTGTCCAATGTATGTGTTCTGAACCACAGAGCGAGTAAGCAGGAGACAGTCAGGGAGCACTAGAAATGATCCACCAAACTGGAAACCAAAGCTTCTGGAGATAAACTTTGGGTCCAAAAACTATCTTTAAAATCATGTCTGTGGTCAGTCCAAGAGAGCAGGTAGAACCATGAACTTTTTCAGAAAGAAGGGAAGTTCACTTGATACAACCTCTATATGACCTGTGTTCTTCAAGCTCTTAGCACAGAAGAGGCAAGTGGCCTTACTGAAGGAGTCTAGCTGTCTTACATCCTGGGATTAGAGATCCAGGAGG